TCACTGAGTTGCTTGGTGCCTCGCTTTTGCTGAGACTGCTTGAACTTGCTATCCTCCTGCTTCAGCCTCTGGAGCTGCTGGGATTACAGGCTTGCACTACCACACCCAGCCTCCATTGCTATTATATCTTCAAAAGGATCAAAATCCTGATTCTATTAAATTATTCACATCATGTTATTGTATCTCAATATTTGTCTAGGAAAAAACAATTTTTATTAATCAGGTGGTGGAATATATATTTTTAATATCATATAAGGAAACACATTAATGATTTCAATTCTTTTTGTTTGTTTTTTTTTGTTTTTTAACTTTTTTAGTTGTAGGTGGACACAATACCTTTATTTAACTTATTTATTTTTATATGGTGCTGAGGATGGAACCCAGGGCTTCACACATGCAAGGCAAGCTCTCTACCACTGAGCCACGATCCCAGCCCAGTTCAAATTCTTATACATAAATGTGATCCTGAAAATGAACACCATGATTTCAAACTATTATAAACATGCTCTTTCCTCAGTACAAAGGTTTGTACAACTGTGTTAACAAACCTTTATTGGTTACACACAATGAGAAGCAAAAGAAAATATGTTTTTTTCTTGTCTCAGAACATGTATGTTAATTTTTGAATATTTAAATATTTCACCTATAAACTGGATTATTTACATAATTGTCAAAGTGCCATAAATAGCAAATAGCAAATAACAGTGGCGGTTCATACAACTCAGAAAGCTTGCTGAATTAAATAATGCTTTCAGGAATTTTCTTAGTTAAAAAAAATGAGGAAAATACAATTCTGTTTCCTTTCCAATTGCCATAAAGTAGACATTTTGTAGAACATATTTCTGAAATTTATAACATGATGAATCTCTTGAATAACAATCTGATAGAAAGAAGCAAGTAGCCATGGGTGCATGCCTCTTCTTACCTGTCTCTTGGAATACACCTTGGATACTTCAACTGCCCTCTGTCACACTGTACTCTAAGTTCAGAGACAATAACAGATGATGCTTCAGCTATGTAAGTGTCCCTTCTGCAAAGAAATTCAATATACTCTCCATGGAAAATGTGTGGTCTATTATCAAAATCCCACTTCAAGAGTAAATTATTCCTTTCCATTTCAACAAAAGATAATGTGCAAGGTTCTAGAGGAAAAAAAAGAAAAAGAAGAAGAAAACTCTCTTGATACATCTTGGTACTACCAGAAATAATTATGTTGCCTGTTCATGATGACCTCACAATTGCGGAGAATGGCAAATAAATTAGTTAGAATCAATATTCAAGTCAGAAAATACATTCAGACCCCCAGGAAACAGTGCACCATTTACCTCTGTGGTCCTATATTCAGAGAAAGTATACCCTGCCAGTCACTTAGTTTTATGCCATTAGGATATTCAAAGATAGCAATAAATTATTTTTTCAGAAGTATTGACAGTCAATAGTATTCACTAAAATTATGCTTTTTCTTTATTCTTCTTCACAAAATTCACATAAAATATTCATGAGACAAACCATTGA